TTCTTCTCTGATTCATAGTGCCAACAGCACTATGACATTCCAGCAGTTACCATTCGTGTGGATTCCTCATTCAAGGAATGATAGCTGCCTTCTTTTCAGCACGTAACTATAGGAAAGGAACTTGGAGCCTCCCATTGGCCACACCAGGTGCTTTACCTGAAAGTTGTGTTGGCCGTGTTTGTGGCCCATCCAAAAAAGTGGGACTCCCACAAGCCAGTTATAACGCTCTAAAGTTTTGTGTTTTAATAAATAAATAGCTTTTGCTTATTGTAAGCTTTCAAGAGAAAATGAGAATTTTTAATCTGTAAGAGAAATCTCTATGACAACTGTCATAGAAAAATCCAGTGTTTTCCTTTGTTTTGTTTGTATTTAAATCAGAAAAGTCAAGGAAAGTAACTTTTAAATCAACGTTAAATATATGCTCTACATATTGCACTGTATAAATATCTTAAGTAGGTGTTTGCCTTCCCATGTATGAATAGGTACTTATCTGTTTTATTTGTCTCCATTTATTATTTCCCACTGGCTTCTGTGTATGCGTATAGAACATGAACCTCACTGGATGTTCTGAATAGAATTAATCTCATCCACTCAAACTTGGAAACATTTTGTTTTGCAAACTTGACACATGCAAATGCGATACCTGCTATGTCTTTAAAGTCTCAGCTTTTAAGGCTCTTCCTCCCTCCAGCCCCCCTACAGTCCTGACATCAGCTGTGTGAGACATGAAAGAAAACAAATTGAGATTGGGATAGTTCAGGGTATTTCTACCTGGAGCTCTGAGTTCAGCCCTCTAGCTCTTATACTAAAGCATCAAAAAGCTGCCTATTAATGGTTCTATTGGTACTGGTTTGGAAAAAAAGGAATGCAATTTAAAAGAACACCAGTAACAATAGGTCTTTTAACCTTTTTTTTTAATTTCTAAAAGCTCATGAATATTATCATACTTGAAAATAGTATCTATTTATACTTTTCCACTTGTTAATTATCAGGTTCTAGGCACTGATATCAACTCAATGGCTGCATCTACATGAGACGCTGATTGCATAGTAGCTTGTTACTACTGCACAGTATCATCATGTGGCACAAAGTGTGACACAACGCTACTGTGCAGTAGTAATGAGCTACTGCACAGTCCGTATGACCAAAAAACGATTTGGGGATGCTACTTCATAGTAACACTAATTATTGTCCGGATATTTAGTACTTGTGGATGCAGGTACTAAATGACTGTGCAGTAACAACTGTGCAGTCAGCCTCTCGTATAGATGCAGACAGTGTTACTTAATACTGTGAGATTTTATGCGTTTATTTTATTCTCCATGGAGAAATTTTCTTAAGATGTCTCTAAATGTGAATATGGCCCATTTTTAAGAGGACAAAATCAACAAAAGACTCCAGAATGCTAGAGACAATATTCTCGGCCCTCTCTACTGCAGGTAGACTTAAATAGTAAAGTACTAGAGAATTTTAGAGTCTTTGGATTTTGGAAGCTTGTGTTTGATGTCTTATACTCATTGTCATTGATTTCCTTACTTGAAGGAACAGTGTTCAATCTTGAATAAACCTGCTTTCAATTTCCAGTGCATCTTTATGACCAAATAAAATTGATGTTGGGAATAAACTAAAATCCAAGTTTTAAGCCATTTGTCTAAATGCACAGACTGGAGCGTGAAGTCTTCCAAAGTAGTTATAATTTGAATTTCTAATGTAAAAACAAGCAAGGGGAGGGAAAAGTTAAAAGATAAAAACTCTAGACCTTTTTTTTCTCACGTCTGCACAAGTGAGCAAAAATCAGCATGACTATTTTTGTTTCTTTTACTGATTACCTTTGAGGCAAAAATATTGTGTTCTGTGACTTCCTGGTGCTTAATGTTCCTGGTTAAATCACGTTGACATTTGTTTTCTTCAAAGACTATTATAAATTTAGTTCTAAGTGGCATTTACTGAAATGATGGGTGAGAATTCATTTCTTTAGGATTCAGTCAAGACAGTTCAAGGCAGTAGAAAAAAATTAACCAAACACAGCAACCAAACTCTTTTGCTAGAGTTTTCCATTAAACTCATTAAAGATATTAAAGTGGGAAAAGTATTTGCCCATCAAGTACAATCGTACTAAAGTTACTGCATTTACTCTTATGCCACATGCACCTTCCCCCTAAAAATTAGCCTTCCAAAATTGGGGTGCATATTTTAATCAGGGAAGCTGCTTTTATTCTGCCCAGAATAAAAGCTTGGAGATACTGTAAGACGACTGCTTTTTCTTTTCCTTCTGATGGTGGGAGGGGTAGAGTCCAGTAGAGGCAGATCAAAGGTGGTACAGTTGATTTTTCTGTCCTAAAGTACTGAGAAAGTAGATTGTCCGCATGGCTCATTGTAATCTACCTGATTCCTGCTCCACAAGTGCTAATGACCCCCTCTCCTGTTTAATGGTCTTGTCATTCCACTATTCTTTATTTGGCAATTTTGCTGCTTGTTCTCCTGGTCTCTCTTCCCTTACTGCAAACCCCTGCAGGCTGGTTCAGCTTGGTTCAAAATCCTAGATTTGCCAATGGAGTTCTCTCTCCAGCAGTAGTTACAGTTTCAGCTTTTGGCTAACTATCTATAACTCCACAAAAATCTTTTTTTTCTTCATTCTGTCTCCCCAAAAAGGGGGTGAATGTCTTTTTTGGGGGCATGTGGTATGCAAGAAAATGGGGTAATTTAGAATCTCATAAACTGGATTCTAGGCCTAGGTATTACAGTGCCTGTTTAAACTCTGGTTGGGAGAAGCAGCACAAAGATCTTTTGCTTTTGCTCTGGTCTAGTAGAGACAGAACAAGTCATATATAATGTGGCCCTCAGCTGTCTATAATCTCCATGAACCACCCTAACATCTAGAAGTTCATCAGAGGCTGCAAGGCTCTGCCCAAGCCCATTTTCTACGGGTATACTCCTTATACCTGGGACTGCAGGGGACTCCTTTAGAGCCAATTGCACCAGCTGGAGATTTCCATATGATGCAGAATCCCCAAAAGCGGGTTAAATCTGCCTCAAGGCTGCTTCTGTCAAAGTGATTTATGCCAGCCTTAGGATACTAGAAAACCATTCACCTATGGTACAACCAGTTTGATGCTCAGGATGAAGATGATGGTCATTTGTCTGCTACCTTGGCAATTTTAGCTTTAAAAAAAACAACCTTTTAAAATCTTAAGATATTGTTTAGATTTGCTGTTATCTTAATTAGACTTAAAGTTGCATAACCTTTTATTTTAACAATCTTGTTAGATACTTCTAAATTTCGCCTGCAACTGTCTCATTTGTTTTATCTTGCTACTGTTGATGGACTTTGCTGGAAAAATGAGTAATTGGAATATATTTGCTATTTTTTTTCCAAGGTCTCTTGTATTGCCTGAAATTAGGAAATTCTGCACAAAATGAAATGCAGCATATCTATGGAAGTTTTCTTTAAAAGACTGTCTCGTGGATAGAGCGAGTGTGGATTGGAATGTGCTATATTTTAACGAGAAGTTCTGCAATTAAAGGAAAACTGTAGCTATTTTGTGCAACCCATCTGTTGAAAAGTATATAATTTAAGAAATTGTTTTTACCCAAAACAATCTGTAAAGAGCATTGGACCATTTGTTTCTCTTCTATGAATTAGGCATCATTTGTAATACTGGAGGTAGTATATCAAGGCCTCCCACTGTCCGATAACATGTTTTTGCTATTATGCAAAAGTGGGCAACACACTGGTCTGAGTGGAATTCACTTAAGGCAAATTAGCCTTTTCAACCTGTGCCTAGTAGCTGGGGCCTTCTCAGGGACTAGCACAGAGTTCAGATGCCTTTCATCAACTGTTTGAATAGCCACCAAGCTTCGGCAGAAATTAGTGGCTATGCTGCACCTAGGACAACCACTTAAAAAGCTTCCAGACAGGCTCAAAAACACCTTTAGTCACACCAGCTATACCTGTAGCTTTAGCCACACCAGCTCCAGAATGGAAGCACCTAATGTGTTTTCTGACTGCAAGAGCAGGGGCAGTTCAAATTACTCTTTGAAAACTTAGACAGCTAAATGCTGATTAAGTACCATTAAATACCTAACTTTTACTATCTTTTTTCCAATGCCTAATGAAGGGTGTTTGTGCCCAAAAGCTTGCAATTAAATTTTTTTTTTTGCAAAAATCTTGTTGCTCTAATAAAAGATATCACCTCTACCAGGATTGCTTTTTCCTCTAGACCAATACAGCTACAACCTAGATACCTAAATACCTAAAGAACATATTTAAAATTGGCCCTTAGAGGGTGTCCTTTCAGAGGCGGGAACACGCTGACATTTATGGGAACAATGTATATAATGGAAATTTTTTTCTTTGGATTATAGGATCTGTAGTCAAATAAGATGGAAGCTTTTTAGTAGCATCTGACAGTGGATTATAGTTGAGTCCACACCACCCACAATGTTACTTTGTCAGCAAAATTTGTGTGGCCCGCAGGAGAGTAGGAGATACCAGCTATTACTGAAATACTTGTATTCCCTGGTATTTTTCCAGTCACACTGCTATTGAACGGCAGTGTGCCCTTTGTCAACAGTACTGCTGAAGTGAGCAAAATGGATACAGTTTACCTTTGCAAGAATGACCCAGAAGATGGCTGACACTCATGCTGTTTCCTCCCTCAAACCATTCATTGCAGTAATAAATGAGCACTTCACTTGAACAGTGGACAGATGCTGTCTATTTAGAAAAGTGAGTCATTCACACCCAATTGTTATTACTGAAAACCTGCGGTGCTTAAATATGTTTTATATTCATAACATTCTTTAATCAGTATTGAACTGCTTTTCTTTCTTCTGCCTTTAGGTTTTGTTTTGACACAACACAGGAATGATTGTAAACATGAATAACACAGTTAGTTCTTAGCCGGTAAAGGCATATGGGTTATAACTGTTCATAGTCTTCTAAAATATAATGGTAGTACAATATTAGGTCCCTGATGCCTGTGTTCTTTCTGCCATAGGTGTTGGATTGAAACCTAAGTCAAGAAAACAACTTGCAAGATGAAAAGCTGGCTGCAAAAGGTTGTCTGCAACCTAGTGGATGCTTGAAAGAGTGCAGAAAGCTTTCTTACTTGCAGAGCTGATAGAGCTGCTCCACATGAACATTGTTCAAGACATCAGTTCTCAGCCTTTTTCGTGGAAGCTGCGCTGGTTTTCACCAGACCAAGGCCTCAGGCTCCCGTTCAGTTGCAAATTACGGATTAGAATGTATACAAATGAACAGGAGGCAAAAGGCACTAATTACAATGGAAAGTGGTACATGGGCTTGCCAGGGAGCAGAGTTACTAGTCACAAAAGTCTAATGCTCCAGTATCAGTTTGATGTTCCAGATATTTACACTGCAATGTAAACTTTTCACTCTCTTTAATGTTGTCATCCTGAGTGGAATGTTCCCAGAGTGGAAGTGATGGGGCAATAACTTAAGCCAGGGGCTTTCAACCTTTTTTGGTCAATGTACCCACAGTGGCCAGTCGAGAAGCAGGTAGTCTCCCGGCGGCCGATTGACAACCGGGGAGGGGATGGGAAAAAACGGAAGTGTTGGCAAGGCACAGCACTTGGTGCCAGCAAAAACAAAAGTGCAAGTGGAATGTGGTGCACAGCAGCGCAAAGTGCTGAGGGCCCCGCTTCTCTGTGCCACCGCCGCATACCCCCTGGGGCATTCCCAAGTACCCCCAGGGGTACGTGTACCCCGGTTGACAACCCCTGACTTAAGCCATTACTTGCATTCCCATAAAAGAGAAGTACTCAATTGCCAAGTGTTGTACATCATGCCTCTTCCTTAGCCTGCTAACTTTCCACACCTGCTTCATCTACTTGTCCATAAGGTGAGAAAGTCAGTGTCTCCAGCATCACCAGTCCTACTCCATGGCATTCTGTCTCTAGGCAATATTCAACTAAGTATTGAGGATGAAGTCTTGTTTCCTTGGACCCTTGTCAGCATTTTTTGTTAGTGGACACAGAAGGGCTCCAAGCCATAGAAATTCAGAGCTGCCAAATTTTGTTCAGCTACATGCATGTCACTCCCCTTTGGTGATGTGTCAGGGGGGCATGTGCCCCCCCCCAGATTTCTGCACCACAGCGAGGAATGGGGCTGTCCAGAGCCAGGGCCCAGCAGCACTGGGGGTGGTGGTAGCACATGATATCTGTGCCAACAGTAGGGCATGGAGCTGCAGCCTGGTTGGACCCAACACCCGGCAGCAGTGGCCGTATCAGTGCAGAGTAGTGCCCCCCCAACAGCAGCAGCAGTAGTGTGGAATTGTACCCCCCTCACCGTCAGCACTTACATACTGTCTACATCACTCTCAGTCTGAGATGTGCTGTTCAACAAGGTGGGAGCTAACAGAAGTCTATCCCTTCAGGGTCCACTGAAGGGAGTAGGAATTGGGAAAAAACCAGGTCAACATGTGGGAATTGGGGTGACTGGGGTGCTTGGAGAAGTCAGTGAAAAATCCAGGTATTAGATGGAATCAAGGCAGGTTGCAAGGGGGCATGGGGACTCAGGGTGGCAACAAGCATGTCTGTTGTCTAGGCCCTGAAATCCCCCTCCAGAAAATTTGAGAGATTGGCAAGATCTGGGAAAAGCTCTACTTCACTGCTCATCCCCATCGCTTTGGGTCTTCTTTCTTTTGCTTTCTCCCCGTTCTGTTTCTCACCCTAGCAAAGCATAGCAATCTGCTCCCTTGAAAAGGAACATCAGTGTGTAGAGAAAACAGTCTTTGCACACAGTGCAGCTGTCCAGAAACAGTAATTTTGCTGTCAGGAAGGAAATTCCTGCAATTATACTGGATATATAATGTTCCAACAGTGCCAATGTAATCTGTGCTAGGATAGCTAAGCATGCATCATCCCCAGTACACAGTATGTACTTTTCTGTGCAAGCGGAGAAAAGAGTCATTAAACATGCCCACAATTTTCCTTAAAGCATGTTGTACTGTACCTGGTAGTTTGCATAATTCCTAAATTGCCTCAATCTTTAGAATTTGCAGTTACTTAACTTTTCTCTCCCCATTAATAGACCCCCCAACATGGTAAAAAAGGAGAACCGGATAAGTTAGATGGCTTGCATCTGCCTAGCAGAAGGCTGAGACAAGAGCATTTGTATGTGTTTAATCATATCAACCTTTCAGATCCCAGGCCCCCATGCAGCAGTGAAGCACTCTGGCCTGGGAACATTTCCCCCAGGCCAGGTCCCTACTGAGTAGGTTGGTAACAGAGGCTTCCTCAGCCTTGAAAACAGACACTTCAACAAAATGCTTCAGCTGCTGCTCTTTCCCACCCAGCTGTTTGGTTGGTTCTCTGATGAGTAGGATGATGAATCTAAGGCCTATGCACTTCAAGGCCAGCAGTAGAGTAAATGCCTCAGTAGCCTTCCTGTCAGTTGGCAGGAAGGTAAGGTTCTAGTTGAGTGCTTAGACAAAGCAGCAATTACTTCCAAAGGCCACAGAGCTAATCAGCTGTCTCAGTTCACTACCTCTGTAGCAGCTCTCTGACTACCTGTCTCTTTCCTGACCGACCCCCATCAGCTCTTAGGATAAGCGATGTTTTTCTCCATTTTTCTTTTAAGTCAGAGATGTTAAAGGCATGTTCACACTCCAGTGTTCCACCAGGAGGGTGTCTAAACTGGCTGTATGGACCTTTAGAAACACAGAGTACTTAGGATGAGGATGGGGGCAGACTGCTAACAGACCCATCCTTTGCTGCTCCTTCATTCACATTCTTATCTCCTAAAAACAAAAAAAAAGCTAACCGCCATGAAACCAGCTGTCAATTCTGTAAGGCCTTCTTGGATGTAACCCAGAATGTAGAAGGCCATAGCCTCAGCTGCTATTGCTTAGGGTAGCCCCATCAGAATCAAAAGAGCACTGTCAATTTAATACCAGATCAAAACCTATCCCAGAAATTATTTTAACTTGCTTAGCACAAAAAGCTTCAATTAAGCTGATAAGAACTCAAAATAAGTGTCCCCAAGACATCAGAGTGGTTCTTCAGCACAACTAGGAATGACCTAGATCATGACATTTGATAATTTAACGGGGAAAAAAAGCATGAAGGAGGAAGAGGGGAGTCTCTCCTTTTTGGATGCTCTCTTTATACACTACAAAGTAAAAGGGACACAATTCTAATTTTTTGAAGTATTCTTTGGAGAAATCAGCTCTGAAAAGAGGCAAGGGCTGGTTTGGATTAGCTGTATAGTTTGGAGCTTTCAGGCCAGTTATGGCTACAACACATTCCAACTCTCCTGCCAGCTTTAGAGGGAGGCATGTTTTGTCTAGATCAGGGGTGGGCAAAATGCGGCCAGCAGGCCAGATGCAGTCAGATTTATCTGCCCCTGGCTGCCAGTCACATGGCCCTCGATGACTTGTGAAAACTCAGTAAGCGGCACTCTGCCCAAAATAATTGCCCGCCCCGGTCTACATGATTCCCCCAGTGAACAAGCTTGCTTTAAAATTCACAGAAGTTTCAAGTTGATCTTAATTCTAGCTCTAAGTAGCTGTAGTAGGACCAGATGATTTAAAAAACCATAAGCAGAATTTGAGACTTTTAAAAAAATCTGAGTCTGGTACAAATACTTAGAATTGGATTAATTAGATCATTTTGAACGTAGAATCAATGAGTCAGAAGGGACCTAGACAGATCATCGAGTCCAACCCCCTGCCATGGGCAGGAATGAGCACTGGGGGTGGCAGGGGTCATAAGACCCCAGCCAGGTGCCTATCCAGTCTCCTCTTGAAGATTTCCAGGGAAGGCAAGAGCACCACCTCTCTGGGAAGCCTATTCCAGGCTCTGGCCACCCTTACAGTGAAGTAGTTCTTCCTAATATCTAGCCTAAACTTATCCTCCCTCAGCTTGTGGCCATTGTTCCTGGTGACTCCAAGGGGGGCCCTGGTGAACAGACCTTCCCCAAGTCCCTTCTGGTGGCCCCTGATAAGGTTGTAGGCAGCCACAAGATCCCCCCTCTCAGTCTCCTCTTGCGGAGACTGAAGAGATTCAGGTCCCTCAGCCTCTCCTCATAGGGCTGGCCACATCAGAGGATTTTAACCCAGGGATAGAGATCTTCAGATCATCTTAGATAAATCTAACCTAGTGTGAAAACAAATATATAAAACCAGACTGAAGTGCAAGAATCAGAAAATACTTCCTTTAAATTAAAAACATCTTTGGTCTTGTACAAACATTCAGTTTCTCCTAGGAGAATTGCTGCTCTCCTAGGAGAAACGACGAATATGCAGATGTTCAGGCCTTTTTCCAGAGTAAAAATGGCCACTCTAGAAGAAAAATAACATGGCACAACCAGGGTTAAATCACTTCCAGGAGAGTTTCTACTAAGAAAGCAAATGTCTGTACATGCTGAGGAGACAGGCTGACCATGGGATGTCATCTGTTGCGAAGCAGAATAAGGAAGTCTGCAGAGCATACTGTGATGTGTGCAAACCTCTCTCCCCACCCCTACCTCACTGCACAGTATCAGCACTGCAGCTCTCCACTCTTCAGGGCTTAATTCAAATGTCTGTACACATGGTTGTGTACGTTTTTCTACCATGAGAATTTTCCTAAGTTATTTGAACGTGGGTATGCAGCCTTTGTTTTTACATATTTTGGACTTTTTTATATTTTGAAATTAAGATCTCTGTTTAATTTTTGAAGCTCACTATCATATAGCACCAAATTTTTTTAATCCCTCCAGGGAAAAAATTGAAATAATTTAAGATGTAAATACTTTTTCCCCCTCCCACCAACATTTAAAAATAATTATGGGTGATGGAAGAGTGGTGAATGCCCCAAAGGACCCTTTCTTATCTTGTGTATGCTGATGAAAACTGCAACCTCTTGCACTCAGGATTATGGATGCTGCTCCTAATATGCAACATTGAGAGTTTATCACTGCAAAGGTGCTAGGAAGATAGCACAGCTACAACTCCATTCCCCCTGAAAAAGCCTACTGTCAAGCCAAAAGGAGGCACATCGTGTACAGAAGTGAGCTCTAAGTTGGTTCCAAAGAAAGGTCATTTAGTTTATACAATCCAGGCAGTTATTTTCTTCTATATAATGAACACAAAGTTGGGTTCTGTGGTAACTATTCTAATTTGTACTTTTCTCCCCACTGCCCCAAGTTGGTTCCTTCAGGAACTGAAAGCAGGATCTGATGCCCTAGGCTGACCAAGTGTAGTGCAGATCAGAGCTGAAGAGCTAAAAAGTTAAGATTTGAGATTCATTTAAATATATCAAGCAGCCACTTCACACCCCCACATATTTTGTATGCTCTGTAGATCAGTAACTACCTCCCTCTGGGTTTGGAAAGTTTTGCACATTTGGGCTGCTGTTCCATTCTAAACACTATAAACAATTTTTCACTGTGCCTATTGTTTGCAATACCTAGGCCTCATCCACTGCATTTTGTAATACTGTTCCCAGAAAGCCACAGGTGTGCACATTAGTAGAATCACTGGCTTGTAGAATCACTGACTTGTGAAGCACATGACTGAAAGCAATCTCCTGTAAAATAGGCAGCCTGCTAATACGCACTGACTTTGTGTTCTGCTTTTAGAGCACAGAACTCCAGGCTTGGCTTCGGGGGAAAGTAGCATTAACTTCCTTGAGGGCTATAGGACTCAGAAGCTATGAAAGTTTGGCCACTTATTTGATATTTAAATATACATAAACTTTACATAAATATTATAAACTTTACATTACCTACTAAGGTTTGAGTTGAATAAAGTTTGGTCATTTGACCGGTCAAATATTGGTCAAAAATTTTAACAAATTGCCAATAGGTCCAGCTCGTACACAGAAAAGGCAAAAATTTTCCATTAAGAACTGTGTCAAAAACAATAAAAAATCATTTTCTGGTAAGAAAACTACAAAAAATGTAGCTTTTTTTGTAAAATTGCTTTAATCTTTGATTGGTCAAAAAATATGCAGTCAATGCACCAGTCAATTGACAATATTTGACTGGTCAATTGACTAGCTTGCCAGCCCACAAACTTTGAGATGAAGGGTCCTGTTGTCTTACTCTAATGACAAGTATTTTTGATGGTTAACAAGTAAATTACGTATTATCAAACAGCAGATCGTTAGTATTTTTAAAACATATTGGGCATCTTTACATGTGTTCCGGTGGTGGAGGGGGGGGCAGGGGTTAATTAGAGTGGCTCCCGAGCCACTCTAATTAACGTGCCTGGAGCATCTCTTGTATTTAGCTCCCTGTGCTTCAAAATGGCGGTAGGGGCACTTTAACTAAAGCTCATTTGACAAGCTTTAGTTAAAGCACCCCCACCGCCATTTGAAGCATGGGGGCACTGAATACACGAGCACCAAAACTGCTGGAGCATGCTAATTAGCACGCTTCAGCAGACTTGCTTAATCATAATCACAGCATGTCGGAGCAGATGTCCCAGTTATCTACAGGCACCCTATAACTATGCCTTATGAAACTATTCTGCAAATCTACTTTCAGACAGGTCAGAGCTTGCAACTGCACAAGTAAAACTTCATGAATTCAGAGAGGAACAAGCTTCATAGGGTTCTTTGATGACACCCAAGGGGCATGTGCACTTTTCCTCCTATTCTGTTAGACCAGGAGCCAGAAAATGGGATGGGTTAAAAAAATAAAAGATTCAAGGAATCAGGGAGAAACCATGTGTAGTGGCAGGTGGAAGTGTATGTGTTCTGAGAACCCATCTATCAGCTGCACTCATTGTATCAGTAAAATACCCATTTCAGTGGATTTGATAAGCCTCTGAAGCATGTTGTCACCTGAGCAGTGGCAATGATGGTAAAGCATATTTTGGCACACTAGTATATTCCGGTGCTGGTCACTAGAACATTATTGTGTGATGTAATTTTAGTACACTGGAAAGAACGAAATATAATTTGCTTACATTGAATCAAGCGCTCTTCTCCACAGGCTTTCAAACTTTATTTCTAGAAAGCTAATATTTGGTATATTTCATTTTTCCTGGGTACATTAACACCTTCTCTCCTGTTTTAGCATATGTCTTACAATTGTGGGGAAAAAGTTACATTCTAATATGTTTATGAACAAGTGCAGAGATTATAATGTTTCCAAAGTTTGGAAAACTTACATTTTTTTCTTAAGTTTCTTGCAGAGACCACTATACCTTAAGGCAACATTCTAGTTCTTGGCCAACATTTTCTTTTAAGAAACCATACAAAATTGTACTCAGTTATACTGGGTATCGTTCTGTTCCACCTATATGAAGCCACCTTAGTTAAGCAACCATGGGCACTTTTACAAGTACTCCAAGGATGAGGAAAGCACTGCCAAGTCTTGTGTATTGGCATTCCCGTGCTTAAAAATGGCAGCTGGGGCGCTTGAACTGATGTTCAATTCTACAAGCGTTAGTTCAAGCGCCACACAGCCATTTTTAACTGCAGGGATGCTGATACATGAGACATAGGAGGCTACAGAAGCGTGGTAATTGCCATGCTCCAGCAGACCTCACACTCATGTATAGGCACCCCATATTTGTATCAATTCCCTATTATTACAGTATATGCAAGTTTTAGTCTTCCTATAGAAGCATATCCCAGTGATTAATAAAACTGATCCAAGAAATTCCAGTTCTAATAGAATGGTGATTTATAGGAAATACCTCATGCAAAGTATTTTTAGGAATATTTTTCCATTTTAAATCCAAATATTTTCAACATATTTTTCTGTTCAGCTCTAGATTCTACTCTTGAGCTGGACAGAAACTCTTAAAGGCTTGTTTTCTAGTTTTGTGTCTTCTCTCTAAGCCTCAGACTCCCCATTCGTAGGAGAATAATTACTTAGGCCACAGGTATGTTATTAGGCTTAATGCATTAGTGTTTCTAAAGCCCCTTGCTATCTTTGGAGCATTCTTTATTATTCATATTGGAGTAGTACCAGAGATCCCTGCCAGCACTGAGGCCACGTTTCACTTTGGCACCCTTCAAAATAGCTTCTGCCTCAAAGAGTTCAGTCTGACATTGGGCAAAAACATACATGAGTAGGTATAATAGAATGGGAGAGGGAGAAAAAGAGCAATGAGGACAGGAACATGTGCATAACTAGGTAGTTTTCAAATACATTAATTATTTCTTGCTAAAAATTATGAATTAGAGATATAATCATTCCTATTGGCCACATCTATGAATCAGTCTAACCATTGCTAGTAGGCACTAGTAAGGTAATCATGACAGAAGATCATGAAACATTTAAAAGAGGACAACATAATTGTTTCCCAGATGAACTCAGGGAGGGCATGTCATAGAAAATGGCTAGTAAGGGAGAAGGCACCAAAGCATTCATGGAAGAACTGGACAAGCAGTTTTATAAAAGCTTTAAAGGAGTG